TATAAATCTTTTTTAAAAAATCCCCCCCCCCCCCCCCCCCCCCTTTGTACTATACTAATCAAGTCATACGTTTTTACAGGCACAAGTGACTTTGGGTGAAACTAGTGATAACTCTCTCATAAAATTCTGGTAAAATTTTTGTGCTTTTATAAGGTTTCTTTCGAAAAGCTTTGATTTGACAATGTATTACTATTCACAAGATTATATTTCTTTTGTTTAAAAAGAATGATGACATTAGAATTATAACGTTCAATGCATCTGAAGTCCATATGAGATTAAAATATTATCATAAAGGAGATTACTAAAATAGTAATAATATCATCTAAAATAAGTCAAACAGAATATATTTTAATATTGATGTTGGTATTGTTCTTTTACTATCTCAGGCATGTCTCAACTTGAACGATCCCTCACAATTAGGGTTGGAGATTGTCCATTCAAATTGGAATAACAACATTAATAACAACAACAATAACAATCACATCATTCAACATAATGATCCTTCTTCCATTCAAATTGATGCAATAACTCCTAATGTTAATGGATTTAACAATTCAATGGAGGTTAGTACGTTCAAAGTTTTATTGTTATTATTATCGACTAATTAACTTTATTTGTTTCTTCTATAAAATTATTTTTATTATATTATTCATGAAAATACACACTTCAAATGGTGTTTTTACAATGATCAGGAGAATATCATGGAAAACAGTAAATACTTTGCTGAAACAACACCTGAGAATGATGCATGCAAATGGGATGATATCGATGCTTTCCTCAATGAAGCTTTGAATGAAGACTTTTGAAATTTAGATTGATCAACCAATGAAAAAAAACTTTTCTTTATGTTTAGTCCATTTAAAAGATCACAGTCTTTTGATATTTTAGTATTATTTTACTTATATCAGTATGCAAGATATCATCTTAATGTTAGTAGAGTGGCCTATCTAAGAATATTCGAAATAAATTGTGTTAGCAATATAATATGTATTAATATTCTTATTATTGTCCATTTAAATTATATGGAGGTTTTGCAAGAAGCTTGGAAACAAGTGGAGGGTCACCTCTATGGAGGTTTCATTTGATTTAGAAGGAAAATTGTTGACATATATATGCTACAATTCCTTTTTAAACTTGTTTAAAACGTTTCGATAACCTTTGAACATCTTTGTTTAAAGCATAGTTATATGAATTTATACCTTGAAACAAATACTTCATTCAACTTCAAAAGTGATTTTGATAATGATTAGATTGACTTATTATAAATGTTTTACGCTAAAATTGCATTTACGAACTTGGTGGTATACTTTGAGTTCTTGCTTAATGATTTTACAAGATAAGAGTCATCTTTAAGTAATTTACAAATTTGAGGTTGCAAATTCATTTCTGATTTAACACACATGAGTTCTTCATGAAATTATGTGTAAGACATATTTAGGCCTTGAATAGAGTTCAAAAGAAACATAATATCTCTTAATGAATCTGAATTTTCGTGATGACCCTCCAAGTCATTCCTCTATTACTGTCTTTTTTCATCGTTTAGAGCATCTTGCAGTGACCACAAGTCATTTATGACATACTTGGAATGAGAGTTTGGTCACCTGGTCGTTCATTTTGATTATGTGAAAGTTTATGTATTTTGGTGCTTTTGAAATTTGAACAGTTGACTTCGGTCAAAAGTTTAGAAAGAAGACAGCCTCAAAATATAAAAATGAAAGTACTGTCACGCCATGAGCCTACACCCTACACGTGGTCGGAACTCGAGAACCATTTATGATCCCCAAGCAAACCCTTGACCTGGGTGACTACTTAGCGGAAGACTCATTCAAGTTGTAATATGCTTAAAAATAGAATTCAAAACATTCAAACTCAAAGTAAATACTCAATTCAAAATGTCTGTAAAATAAGCAATAATATAACTATAATAGTTTGCAAAAATATCTCAAGGAAAAGTAAATATTGAAAGACTCTTCAACTCTGTCTATCTATGAAGCCTCTAATGTTTAAGATAGGCGTTGAGAAAAGACCCACCACGCCTCAAAACAACTAAACTGAAAGTAAATGTGAAGTCCTCCGGATGTCAAAGAGGCTCCCAAAGAGCTTGTTGGAGTGTAGAGTGATCTCAACGAAGCACCTATTGATGATCGTAAACACCTGTATTTGTTTCATAAAAAGATGCCGGTCGAATGACATCATTATATTTAAATATACGATTATGTAATATAGCTGAATAACAAATAATTGAACTAAAAGGCCAGAAATATATAAGAACTATACTCAAGCAAAATGTAAAGAAATAAAAGACTTAAATCATTTAAATCTTTACAAAATACATAGTCATCTCTAAACTCAAACATATAATAAGTGATATATAAAAATAAACTTTTACTCTATTGGGAGATTTTCTAACCGACACCATCACTATGAGTTACATGAAGATACAACTTCTTATCCACCCTGCCAAAACATTCCTACATCGTGTCGAGATATAGAACCTCTCTACTAAGTGGATCCACTAAGCTCTGCCCGAATGCACTAAGGATTCATCTAAAAAGTATGATCCCATACCCATGATGGCAAGAAATGGTTTATGGGGGCAGTGAGCTGTCTGAACTCTCTCCTATATCAGTGCTCAATAATACTCCCAATAACATATACTATTGCTCAAATGCATAATAACATATTATTTCTCTTGTTTGAGATAATTGCTCAAACTATCCTCTTAAAAGGGTAACTGCTCTGTTTCTCTTTAATCAATGTAAAAATAGATTTTGTCTTTAATTTTGATAACCAAGTTGAGAAACAATGGAGGCCCATCTATTGGGATGACGACTGAGATGTGGCACCGCAACACGTGTTGCTGTCGCAATGGAGCTCGCATCTCAGACAAATTCCTTAGACAATACTCTCTCCATTCCATATTAATTGAATTTTTGAGGTATTTTCCGTTATTCAAATTAACTTAATTGTTCAGTTTTCAAGACTACTTTTAGAGTGTTCTTCCAATTTTACCCTTCATTTGGATTTTCAATGTCATGACTTCAATAAATTTGACAATAATTAATAAGGGTCAAAATGGAAAACTATGTTCAATTTATGTATTAATCTACTTTTCTTAAAGGGTGTAAAACATCTCAAAAATTCAATCAATATGGAATGGAGGAAGTATATTTCTTATTCTAGACATGTGTTGCGGTTTCATATCTAAATGTGGCCTCGCATCTTCATTGCATCAATGAGATAGACTCCATGTAAAGATAGGCTTGTTTAAGGCGTGCTAGCTGCGGCCACATACACAAACTTGCGGCAATGCATCCTTTTATGTAGGGTCGCATCTCAAGTGTTTCAATTACATTTTTATTTGTTTGAACTAACCAAATCACATGTTTGCTTGCTAACTGTTGTGATATATACCTCCACTTAAAACCATCGTAATTACCAAGCCTATTATATTAGAAGAGAGTGGCTCCTGTAATACATGGCAACACTAAAAGAAGGAGAACTATCGAAGAGACTGAAAAGCGGGAGCATAATGCCTCTGTAAGTCCCACTCCTCCTGCACTAGTAGACACCCAATAGCATAGTGAAGATACTATAGGCTTCCCCACAAATGAGATTCGGCTATCATACTCGCTCAAGAGGAGCCTTATTACTGAGTGGTGACTTAGCACTCGAGGGTTATTTGGGTCCTTTCATTGGATTCTGAAGTAGCTCAACAATTGTGGGTGACAAACATTCTCAGAAGAGCCCGACATGTTTAGTAGACGCTATTCCAAAATTTTTATGCCTATATAAGGGAAGAGATAGGTATAGACACATGATTTTTTTATCCTCCATGAGTTTCAACCCATTTTTAAAATTTAAATCTTTTTCAAATCTAATCTTTATATTAACTTTAATTTCATTTTGACGTTACTTGAGAAAATTGAAAATCACAAAAAATAGTCTTTTTTTTAGATAATGCTTTGATTTTTATTTTTTATTTGTGAGGAAAAACAAAAGTACTTACCCAAATATGTTTTTATTTATAATTTTTTTTTTCATTTATGTAATATTTAGGTGTTATTTTATTCTTGAATATCAAATAAAACTAAAACAGACTAAACTCAATAACATATTACCACGTGTTATATTTCATGTCAAACATTATTGAAAGCATATTCCATTTAGACAAGAGATATTCCACTCCTGCTCTCCAAATTTTTTAATCTTATCCAAAATTCATATAAGGATATTTTAAGAAGATTAGACCTAAAAAAAATAGACCATACTACCCCTAAACCTAGTAAATAAAATCACCAAAAACAGAGAAAACAGCTGCAACAACTAGAGAAAAAGGAAAAAATAGTAGCTAAAAGAGGAAAAAGAGATCCCCAAGTTCAATTGGTCTCAAAATCGGATGTAAGTATTCACTCACTTCTATGCATGTCTTCTAGTAATTTTACCTGAGGTATTATGAATTATCAAGTGAGCTAGTTATTTTATTTTGTTGGTTATGGGTTTCTCATTTAATCACCAAGTTGTGATATTTTAAATTTTATAATCAATGTAAAATGTTTCCATTTATATCACCATGTGTTGACCTTTCATTTCATTTATTCATTTATTTTTTCTTTACGAGACCTAATCAATAGCATACAAAAAATTAAAGATTTGTTCAAGATTCATTGGAAAAACTAAAGATAAGAGTGATAAAGGATACAATTAATTTCTTTGATTTAGTATTGCAATCTCTGAGATTTTAAGTTCTAAGCAAGAGAGCGCATAATTTATCATCTTAACCGATGATTTTGTCATTCAAAAATATTCTCTGGCTCATTCTAACTGGTATCAAACTATTCTTTTTGTCATGTTAGAAAGAAACTTAAATTGTTAAAGTCTTCATTATAAATTTTGTTTCAAATTCCTTATATTAGTGCTTTTGCTTCTTTTTTTTAATCTCTTTTTATGTCAGGTTTGTGAAGAAAAAGAGAGTGAGCAATTAGTGCAGACAGTGTTCAAACAACATAAACAAGAGTTGATAGCTAAGATCTATCTCAGTGAGGATACACATATAGAGTCTTCATATATCGAAGAAAAATTTGAATTACCACTATCATCGTTAGGTTTGTCTTGAGCTATTCTATTATATGTAAATAAATTTTAAATATAAGTACATTTGTCCAAGATTATTTTTGTCTTCATGTTATGAACTTCCCACAATCCTACATTATTGCTACTCAAAAAACAATTTAATTTTCTCTTCATATGTTATTCGTAGTATCTATAAAAATGTTGATTAAACTTTTTGCCCTTTCTTAAAATACTCTACTATAGACAAAATTTTCATTTACTATTTTTCTCAAATTATTATTCAGTTATCTTTATGATATTGAATCTTAAAATATATGAGAAGAACGATCACTCCTAATATATATGGTAAAAAGAAATATAAACTAACATGTAAAAATTTAAGGATCGCTAAAATAATGGTAAGAGAAAAATATATGGTACGGTATACTAAAAGAATTAATAAGGATAATTAATGTCAATAAAAGGACTCCTAAAAGATATAGTAATCTATAATACATTTGAACTCCTTTTCTACTTAAACAATGAATCATATAATAACATGATATTTGATGATATGTATGTTTCAACAACGTAGTATTTGCTTCGCACCTAGTATTAGCTTAGATTTTTGTTTAAGATCAAAATGAATGACAAATTTATGATTGATATTTAATCTATTTGTAATACTTAATCAAATTTATACATTACAATTTTAAGAATTATTTAATAAAAGATTCAAGTTAGCTAAATATTTATTCACATTTAAGCTAAATCTAATTTCGAGTATAGCTAGTGATTCTCGAAGAATATGATATGTGAAAATGTATTAAAGAGGAGTGTGAATGAACTAATATTATTCACCTTATTTGAAAATTTTAAAGTTTGAGTTGGAGATGGAGTGAGAATTGTGTTGGGAATAACATGTACGTCTAATGTTGATTGAACTTCTTACCCTTCATTAATTTTTTTTTACAATAGATAAAATTGTCATTTACTATTTTACTCAAATAATTGTCATAATTTTTATGCTAATATTTAGGACATGAAATGTAATTAAAGTTATAGTTATTAAACTTACTTATTTGTAATATGTAAGAACTTCTAATATTTATTACTTTAAAATTGACTCAAATTCTATTTCTTAAATATTTTTTTATTTGAACTATATTAAAAGTCCTAACATTAAGACTTTAAAATCAATAGTTTTACCTGATATAAATCTTATTTGAATTATAGTAAACGAATTAAAAATATTAAAGAAAGAGATTCACATATTTTAAACTAAAATTTTAACTTTCATGTGAAATGCTTATCATCTGGATAGATATAACATTTATTTTAATGTCGATTGCTATTATAAAATAATTTTATTATTTTAATATATAATTTTATTAATTGATGTAAGACACACGTGCAAAGCACGTCCACTAAATTAGGTCTAATGAAAAACCTATATTAAAAAAGAAGAAGTTAAGATTAGAAAAAAGAACTAAGCAGAAGGATTCAATACTCTTATACATCTAGTGATTTGAGATCTAACAATGAAAATTGTTAGTAAATCCAAGAAAGTTCTGAAAATCTAACTAAAAAGCATATTTTTACAATAGGGTAATCTGTTGAAGGAAAATTAGAAAATATAACTTGAATGTAAAAAGCGTGTTTTCTAAAACTGGAGTCAAAATGAATAGTATGGGTTGTAAATCTATAGGAAAAGTACATAATGTGCAATTCATTTATAGACTTAACTAAATCACAAAGTAATAAAAATATTGTTGCCTATAGATTATGCTACTTTCTTCTAAAAGTTTCTCAAACATATTTAGTCAAACCACCTTATTTTTCCTAATTCCTTTGTAATAGCAAAAAATAAGACTGTACACCAATAAAAGACTAGAATGAAAATGGTAAATTTTAAAGCGAAATGCATTGCAACTTTAAAAAAGGGAATGGAAAGACTTCTCAAGAAAGCACATAACTTTGATTACAACGGGAACATGTGTTGTCATTCCTATTTATTCTCCTAGTGGTAAACTATAATTTTATGATTCCTCTAATAATTTTACTATAATAGATGATCTCCTAAACCAAAATTTAGAGAATGTTGTCGTTGATCCAATTGACGTGAAGACTTACGTGGTCAATGAAATTACAATTTAATAATTTAATAGATCTAAGTCATTGGTTTGATAGTCACTAGGGAAAAGTTTATCCATCTTATTTACTTTTGAATTGCCAGTAAAGCTCGTTTTTTTCAATATGTGAATTATTCTATTGGTTAATTGTTGTCCTCTCATTTTTAGTTGCTTGATAATTTTAGTCGTATCTTTCAGTCCTCCATGATATTAAACTATGAAGCATAAAGTCTTATGGTGTACTTTTTTCCTTTCTACTTCATCGGATGACCTAATAAAATAAACTTTTCTCGGTTAAAGAATTTGACTCTTTTCTATTAAGTCAATTCCTTTAATAGAAAGTACTTTATTTTATTAGAATGCCCTTATAAGGGAGAAAAGGAAAAATACACCACAAAATAGACTAAAACTTGAAAGACAACAATCAACCATCCGAAAGACTAACATATTCAAAACAAATATACTTCACTAACAATTCTAAAGTAAATAAAACAAGATGGATAAATTTTTCTCTAATGACAATCGAATCATTACCCAACTCTATTTAATTGCAAATTAATGAACCGTATAAACCTTCACATCATCTCGATCAACAACAATGTTCTCTAAATTTTGATTTAGGAATGTATCTATTGTATTAAAATTATAAGAAGAATCATAAAAATATGAGTTACCACTAGGGGAATAAACAAGAATAACAACATGTTCTCCCGTTGTAATTGAAAGTTTATGTGCTTCTTTGATAAGTCTTGGCATTCCCTTTTTGAAAGTTGCAATGCGTTTTGCATTAGACCCAATTATCTTCATTTCAGTCTTTTGTCAGCGTAAATGTTATTTTCTACCATTACAAAGACATTAGAGGAAATAAGGTGGTTTGACTTAATAGAGTTAAGAAACTTTTAGAAGTAAATTGCGTAATTTATAGGCGAAAATATTTTTATTTCTTAGATAACAACCTTAGTTTCAAACTCGATTTGATCAACAAAAGCAATATTTAGTTACTATGCATATACTAATCCAAAGTATTAAAATTTTACTTTCCGCACATGTTTTAGAAATAAAGTTCTGATGAATTACGACTGAGAGTAATATTCTCATTATATTCTTTATCGATTTTGACCCAGCCTTATTGGGTTTTATTGTAACACCCCGCAACTAGAAAGAGCTAGAATTAGAAAGAGTCATTTTTGGAAAGAATGAAAAATCTGGAAATTTGACAAAGTTAAGTTAAGAATGAGTTTATGGTCAACTTCAAACCACAATAACTCCTATCTCAGGATGATTTAGGTGTGCTACAAGGTACCGTAGGAAATATCTTTGAATTTTCTTTCCAACGCCACAGAGTTTGATCAGTTTTGAGTTCGTATGAGTGAGATATGCCCATTTGAAGTTGGGTTGTCTAGATAAGGAAAGTCAAAACTAGATTTTAGAAGGGTATTATGGTCTTTTCACTACCCAATCAGCTTAATTCGTGTTTGTTAATTACTGAGGGGTCCAAACAGAATTAGATCAGTTTACGCTTTACCAAATTACGCTAGGGTTTTTGGAGAAAGAACTCAAGAGGAGAAAGGAGAAGAAAAGGTCTAGATTCGTCGTCTTCGTGAGGAATTGATTGCAGATTTCACCAAGGATTCAATCCTACATGGTATGTGAGTTCATATAGCGTTGGGTTCGTTCATCCACGCGCCCAACATGTTTATTTCAGTATGATTTTCATCCTAAAAGATAGAGACTTTGATGTTCTTGAGTTGTATTCTTGAATTGCTTTCGTTCTTGAATTTGGCGTGAGATTGAAGAGTTCTTCAGAGTTTAAGGTCTATTTTAGAGTTGTGTTTGATTAGATTCTTGTGTACATATGTTGGGTATCTTAATCTAAAGAGGAATTGCGAAATATAATCGAATTTAGGTGAATTGGGGTTAGAAAACAAAGAAGGAACAAGTCAGGCAAATCTGGGTACCAGGTCCGCGTCGCGGACCTATTCCTCAGGATTGAAAAAATTTTCTCCGCGTCGTGGAGTGATCACGGACCTTTCTGCCTCAAAAATTATTTCGCGACCAAATAAGTAAAAGTTGTCCGCATCGCAGACTTGCTTACAGACATTGATTTCTTGATCTTTTCTCATGTTTAACTATCTAAAAACACTCCTAAACATCATGAGATCTTTCCTATCACAAACCACAATCCTTGAATCTATAATTCAATTCAAGGAAAGTTAAGAGAAGTTAAGAGACAAGTCAAGAGAAGTTCATTGAATTTTCCAAAAGTCCTTCACAAATATTTTAACTTTGTTTTAAGACAAAAGCTTTGAGTTGAGTAAAGAGTAAGAGTAAAATTCATTTTTTCAAAGATTATACGGGAACTAAGTATTCCCAAGAGTTAAAATGTTTTCACATTTGAGCAATAAAGGAAACACTGATTTCCAAGAGAGTTTTTAAGCTAAGTTTTGACTAATTATCTCAAACCAAAGAAAGAGTTTTGTTTTAAAAAATATGAGCTGAGTATATTTTTGGGGAGTAGTATTGAGCACCGATATGGGGACGCGGATTCATAATAACTCAAGTCTCCATAAACCATGTAGCCATCATGGGTAGAAAAAAGATCATACTTTTTAGATGATTCCTAAGTGTTGTTTAGCATAGACTAGTGGATCCACTTAGTTAAGGCGTTTTATATGACGACAAAATATAGAACAATTCTGGTAGCGTGGGCAAGACGTTGTATTATCACTTAGGCTCATAGTGGTGGTTGTCGGTTAGAGAAACTCCCACAATATTATATTACTTTATATGTAAACCAAGTTGTTATTGCATTTCTTTAGCAAATTGAGTTGCTACCTCTTGTTTTAAAAGCTTTGTATAACTGCACTATTATTGTTGTTTACTTTGCATTTGAGTTGAGTTATTTCATGAGTTGAGTAAAGCAAAGGTAAGTGCTCTTTTCAGATTCCTTTCAAGCTTATGTCTTGTTTAGTATTCCTCTCGCATACTCGTACTTTCAATGTACTGAAGTCATTTGGCATGCATCGTTTTATGATGCAGCCACAGGTAACTAGGA